GTTGGAAGGACAGTCGAGTTTCTTTCGGGAGGTTTTATTCGTTTGAGCAAGGAACAAGGCGTAGCGAATGCGGCGATTGCAGCGGTGGAGGCTAAAACGTCGTCGATCGATGTTAAGCTGACGACGATGGAAGCGGCGATAGCGAATCTCGCGTCGTCGGTTTAAACAGTGCTCAAATCAATCGGAAAGAAGCCGATTCAGGAGCTGGAACAACATTCCGATTCGTTTCCACCGTTTTCTCAGGTACGAACTTCGTTCTCTGATCGGACCAATCGATCGGCGAATTCTGTTAGATCTTATGACCTGAACTTGGATAACCGAGCTAGTATGCTTAAGAAAGTGGAGATGCTGGTCTGTGATGGCACGAAGGTATTGGAATGGATTACAGATTTGGAATATTTTTATAATCTGGGGAGGTATAGCGATGAAGCGAAGTTAGACTTGGTACCGTTGTGTTTGCAGGGAGCGGTGAATAAGTGGTATGCCTGGGTGTTACGGAGGGGTGGTTTTGTTAGTTGGAGTGACTTTAAACGGAGGTTGTTAGTGAGATTTTCGGATTCCATTAATGATGAACCTGAGACGAGGTTCTTTGCTCTGAAACAGACTGGTTCAGTGACGGAATATGTTTCAGAATTTGAGGAACTTTCAGCTCAAGTCCCTAATTTGGCGGATCATCATTTGGAACGTGTGTCTTATAATGGATTGAATTTGGAGATGAAGGAAGTTATTCGCATGAAGGATCCCCAAGGTTTGCAAAATTTTATTGCAGCAGTGTTAAGTATGGAGACAAGTACATTTTTCAAAGTTGTGGGAGAGTCTAATGCTGGTTCTACACCAGCTCAAAAACCTGTTTGTGGGAATACATCTCGTCCTACAGCACAGTTTCTGCAGAACCGTGGTGCTCAAGATCGTTCGAGGTTTGCTGTTTCTGATACTAAACAATTGAAAGAGCACGTCAATCCTCAACGCTCTTCGCCACGTGCGAGGTTGAAATAAACGGATGCTGAGTTGGATGGTATGAGACGGGATGGCGTGTGTTTCAAATGTGGGGATAAATGGTTAAAATTGCACGCAAGTATTTGTCCGAAACGGGAATTGCGCATTTTGACTGTTGTTCATGGTTGGAAATGGAATTAGTGGAGGATGTTGACGATGAGGAGGCTGTAGAGATGTTGGCTGAGAGGAGTGAGTTGAAAACTTTGTCATACAATGCATTCATGGGCATCAGCTCACCTCGAACTATTAAGCTTTAGGGGTATGTTGGTCAGAAGGGAGTTAAGATGTTACTTGACAGTGGAGCATCACATAATTTTATGGCTCCTGCCATTGTACAGAGTTTGGGTTTATCGGTTAGTGAGGCGAAGGGATTGGATGTTTTATTGGGGAATGGAGTGATAGTTAAAGGCATTGGAGTGTGTCAAGCAATACAGTTCCAACTCAACTCCACTATATTTACTTCTGATTTCATCGCGTTGGAACTTGGGTCTGTGGATGTCGTGTTGGGTATTCAGTGGCTTGAGACACTGGGGATATGTGAAGTTGATTGGAAGGCACAAGAATTCTCTTTCATGTACGAGGGAAAACGTGTGACATTGCTTGGTGATCGTAGTTTACATGATACGGGTGCTGCGTTGAAAATGGTTGTTGCAGAGGATCCTTTGGTTCAGGTGGTGCAAGAGATTCAATGCTCGAATTTGGTGGTTCTTGCCATTGCCTATGTGCCTGCAGCAGTGTCTCCACTCTTGCGTTGTTTGAGGACGTCTTTGCGGTTCCTACTCAGTTGCCTCCGGTTCGGGGTATTGAACACTCTATTTCCTTATTACCGGGAGTCTCAACTGTGTCAGTAAGACCGTACCGTTATCCTCACACTACCAAATTGGTGATGGAAAGGATGGTGAACGAGATGTTAGCTAGTGGGATAATACGGCCAAGTAATAGTCCTTTTTCAAGCCCTGTTTTGCTCGTAAAAAAGAAAGATGGAAGTCATCGGTTCTGTGTGGATTACAGGGCTCTGAATAGGGTTACTGTGCGTAATAAGTTTCCCATTCCAGTTATTTACCAGCTACTGGATGAGCTACACGGGTCTATCATCTTCTCCAAGCTTGATTTGCGCTCTGGGTATCATCAAATAAGAATGGTGGAGAAAGACATTCACAGGACAGCTTTTCGCACCATTGAAGGTCACTATGAGTTTTTGGTAATGCCTTTCGGCTTAACCAATGCTCCGGCTACTTTCCAGGCACTTATGAATAGAGTGTTCAAACCTTTTTTGCGAAAGTTTGTCTTGGTGTTTTTTGATGATGTCTTGATCTTCACCAAATCTGTGGAGCAACATGTGACACATTTGGAGGCGGTGTTGCAGATGTTTCGTGATAATCACCTTTACGCAAACCAAAAGAAGTGTAGCTTTGGATTGAGTGAGGTTGAATATCTTGGTCACATAATATCAGCTTCTGGTGTGGCTACTGAATCTACTAAAACGGAAGCAATGCGTGTGTGGCCTACGCCTAAAAATGTTAAGCAACTGCGAGGATTTTTAGGTTTAACAGGGTATTACCGTAAGTTTGTGAAGGATTATGGTACTATTGCTCGACCTTTGACCACTCTTCTGAAGAAAGATCAATTTTGTTGGTCTGAGCCTGCTCAAGTTGCTTTTGATCGGTTGAAGTTGGCAATGTCTTCTACTCCTGTGTTGGCACTCCCAAAGTTCTCTCAACCTTTTGTCATTGAATCGGATGCTTCTGGTTTGGGTTGGGAGCTGTTCTCATGCAAAATAAGCAACCTATTGCCTACTTCAGCCATGCTCTTACCCCTCGTGAGCAACTGAAACCTTCTTATGAACGTGAACTTATGGCGGCGGTGATGGCTGTTATTAAGTGGAATTATTACTTGATAGGGAGGAAGTTTGAAGTTCATACTGATCAACGGAGTCTTAAGTTCTTGTTGGAGCAGAAGGAGGTGAATATGGAGTATCAAAGGTGGTTGACACGATTGTTAGGCTTTGATTTCGATATTTTTTATAAGCCCGGTTGTGAAAATAACGCCGCTGATGGCTTGTCTCGTAGCTTGTTGGATGTGCAATCAGTTGGGCAGGGTGATCTGTTCGCTTTAACTGTTCCATCGGGGTTACAGCTACATCTATAAGGAGATTGATTTGAATGCTGGGTTGCAGGCGTTGAAGAAGAAGATTTTGGAGGGAGAAGTACAGAATGTTGATTATCAGGTTATACAAGGACGTGTGTGGTTTAAACGTCGATTACTCATTCCTCGGTCATCATGTTTCATTTCGTTGATTCTGAGTGAGTTTCATGATAGCAAAGTGGGTGGTCACTCTAGAGTTTTGAAGACTCTGAAACGTATTCAACAATCTTTTTACTGGGATGGTATTTACAAGACTGTCCAGCAATATGTTTCAGAATGTGTGGTGTGCCAAACACACAAGTCTTCTACATTGTCTCCTGCATGCTTGTTGCAACCTTTGCCAGTCCCTGAACGTATTTGGGAAGATATCTCTTTAGATTTTGTTGAAGGACTTCCTACGTCGGGTGGCTTTGATGTGATTGTGGTGGTTGTGGACCGTTTGAGCAAGTATGGTCATTTCTTTGGGCTGAAACATCCATTCTCTACGGTTGATGTGGCAACTAAGTTTATGAGTGAAGTGGTGAGATTACATGGATTTCCCAAGAGCATTGTATCTGATCGGGACAGGATATTTCTGAGTACGTTTTGGAAGGAGGTTTTTCGATTGGCTGGGACTAAACAGAAGTTTAGCACTGCCTTTCATCCTCAAACCGATGGGTAGACGGAAGTGTTGAATCGTTGTCTTGAAACGTACTTGCGTTGCTTCGCGTCTACTCATCCTCGTACTTGGTATAAGTTCCTGGCTTGGGCGGAGTTGTGGTATAACACAGCCTTCCATACATCGCTGAAAACATCTCCGTTTGTGGTTGTGTATGGGAGAGAACCACCTTCCTTGATTCGCTTTGAGGAAGGGTCTACTACTAACTATGATTTGGAGGTTGCTTTGAAGGAACGTGATGTGATGTTGGAGCATATTAAGAGTAATTTGTTGCGGGCGCAGGATTTGATGAAGAGGAATGCTGATGGACATCGTCGTGATGTTGAGTTTGAGGTGGGGACACTGGTATATTTGAAGCTCAAACCGTACCGACAGCAATCTGTTTCACGTAGGATTTGTCAAAAACTCTCTGCCAAATTCTATGGTCCTTTTGCTGTAGTTGCTCGTGTGGGGAAAGCGGGTTATTGGTTACAGCTTCTTGTGTCCTCTCGTATTCATCCTGTATTCCATGTCTCGTAGTTGAAGGCTGCGTTGGGTAAAGGGTTTACAGTCCAGCCTCTGCCTGCGAGTTTGAGTGATGAGTTGCATTCTAGTTTGGTGCCTGAGGATGTTGTGGCCAAGCGTTATGACTCTGCTGGTCATTTGGAGTTGTTGCTGAAGTGGTCTGAGTTACCGGAGTATGAAAATTCTTGGATGTCTTATTGTGAGTTTGTAACTCAGTTTCCTGCTTTTAAGCTTGAGGACAAGCTTAATTTCATGGGGGGAAGTATTCATAAGTTCAAGAGGGCTTATGTTCGTAGAAGAGGGAAGAGTTTGAATGAATTTTTTAAGAAGGAAGAGACTCGGGATGAGCCAGAGTCTTATCAACTGAAGGGGGTTTCGAAGAAAGAGGGAAAGACTCTGGTGGCGTTGGAGGCTTTGTCGTTAGAGTAAAGAAGAAGACCGTTGAAGACTATAAATAAAGGAGTGAAGATATTTAGAGTTTATGCTTGATGTTGTATTTGAAAGACGCCATGAGTCTTCTCACACGATCGATATGAGATCGCTGATTGCATTTGCTTTCGTTATGAGATAGTATTTGTAATCAGACTTCAAGCTATTCAATACACTAACACTTTTACATAGTTTCTCAGAGTTACAGATAACCTAAATCTATCAGTCACATAAGCAATCATGTCTTGTTGTTTCAATGTGCATATAAATGCACCTTCGCAGGACGAGGTATAGAAGCTGTTTCCCTCTATTGTGTGCAAGTCTGTTCCTGTGATTTAAATGTCAAGCACATTTTACATTCATTAAATCACTGAAACAGGGGCTAATCTTACACAAGTTGAAACAAGACTTCTAGGCATTGACGTTATTGTCGGAAGGTAAAAAGCACATTGATTTCTCTACCAAGATGTATTGTATACGCTTTTTGTGGAGACCATATTCTTAGACTTTGTTATTGAATTGGTTTCATAGGCAAGGAGATTCATGCGATGCTGTTTGCAAGTCACGGGGACAATTGTGTGTGATGAATAAACTCACTTTTAAACCAGTGTGACGTGTAAGTTAACAGAGTCATCTTCTAAGCCAACGGATGTTTATATACCACAATTTGATGTTTACATGGTGTTCTTTATTTGTTTTTTTTGTTTGGTCAGTATGCAAAGATACATGACCTGTAAAGGCTCCTGTTTAGAAAATTCCGGAGCTGACCAACCTGCTGAGGTTGCTGATGATTCACCCAGAGAGTTTATTCCAACTTTTTATCTTCTCTTATGGCATGCTTTAAGATCTTGAATCTGAGTGAAACATCTTCTTCACATCGCTTTCTCCTGATAACTTTTGAATCTTGGTGATGAACTGAGTGATTCTGTATGTGTATGTTTATTACATGGTGGAAAAGAACAAAATTTTGATACATATACGAATGATTCTGCCTATCTTTATGCATATGACTAAACGCTTACTCATTTAAAACCACATAATGGTATATAGTAGATGTCCACATCAGAAGTAATGTATGTGGCCTATATTGAGAATAAAACACATTCAAAAAACTTAATCAAAGTTATTAAAACTTAAAAGAGAAACTTCCTCAAGAAAACAAAATTTCCACTAGAAAGATTAGATAAGTTCATAACAAATTATTTATAACAATAACTACATAAGTTCATAACAAATCGCATAACAAATTATTTATAATAATAACTACATAAGTTCATAACAAATCATAGAAATGCTTAATAAGACTTATAAAGACTTCTAGAGACTTACGAAGATGCAAATTAGTTATAGCAATAACTACATAAGTTCATAACAAATCATATATAAATGCTTAATAAGACTTATAAAGACTTCTGGAGACTTACGAAGATTTACCGAAGACTTCTGAAAACTTACCGAAGACTCATCTTTCACCAACCATTTTCCATATACAACAGTTAACTTACGAATCATCTGCAACAATAAAATTAAAGAATATTAGCAAAGATAGGACATCAAAGTCAAAAAGTTAAAATTAACCCGATAAAAAACTTCCCTGGAATTCTTCTATCATTAGTTAGAAACATTAAAAAACATGAATGTTAATAACCTCATAATTATCACCAATTAAGTTATGAATTTCATTCAGGACCCTAAATATTGTCCAAACACATGAATTAACAACAAAATCTTAAGATTTCATTTTAAATTTGAAGAAAATGAAAGTTTATTATATACACTATCGTAGAAGACTTATCTGAAAGTCTTAGAAAGACTTCTAGGTAAGTCTTCTACAAAATGCTTCCAAGTAAATCTTCCATTTATGTCATTTTTGCAATTGAAAATTTGAAAATGAAAACTTTCAGAGATGTCCCTTCTCTGAAAGTTTTCCTTTGTAAATATTAGCTTACTTTTCTAATACAAAAATTCTTGAAAATATCTGAGAAGACTTACATGGAAGTCTTCTCGGATAAACATGTTAGTTTTGCAACTGACCAGTTTTTGTCATAAATTTGACTTTCTACTGAAGACTTCCAGGTAAGTCTTCTGCCGGAAGACTTACCTGGAAGTCTTCTCAACCTTTACAATAACTCTACTGAAGTCTACGTAGGTTACTTTTGAAATTGACCATATTTGAATTTTGTTGAGAAGACTTACATGTAAGTATTCCAACCAGAAGACTTACATGTAAGTCTTCTTTGATTACCTTAGGTTTGACCAAAATCACGGAATAAAAATCTGGAAGACTTCTCGGTAAGTCTTCCGATATAAGACTTATCTGGAAGACTTCTAGGTAAGTCTTCGGGGCGGAAGACTTACCTGAAAGTCTTCCAATTTAAATTAAATATTTTAAGTTTAAATTTTTAATTCCAAAAATAGCCTACACAGACTTCAGTAGACTTAATGTAAAGGTTGAAAAGATTTCCAGGTAAGTCTTCCGTAGAAAGTCAAATTTCTGACACAAATTGGTCAATTGCAAAATTAACATGTTTATTTGTCAACAAAGAAAAGTTGGTCGATTTTTTTTGTCAACAAAGAAAAGTTGGAAAACTTCAACGAAAGCCTTCTCTAGAAAACACACAAAAAAATCAATTGCAAAACTAACATATTCTTTGACCAGAAGACTTCCATGGAAGTTTTCTCGACTGAGAAGACTTATGAAGATTTACACTTGAGTCTTCTAGCGAAAAAATCTGGGAAAAAAATCAATTTATACCTTCAACAACCACCGAAGGATCTTACTTAGTTGTCCAAGCACACACAACTTCACCAGAACATCTACTCAATTGTTAATGATCCAAAATCTTGAGCTTGAATGACTATATATGACCTATAACTTTAGAATAAAAAAGCTTGGATTTTTTTGGATGAACATAGATAGAATGTGAGAGAAATGTAGTTTTTGGGCATACAATATAAAAATGAATGAGTAAAATTTTTTTTTAGATGCATTAAGAGCTTATTTTGATTGTTCATGGTTGTTGGGTGAATTGATGGCAATTGCATTTTCGTGATTAATTGATTAAGATGAGGATGAGAGAGTAAAACACTCATTTTTGAAAAAAAAAAATTGTATTTTCGTGAATAATCAGAACTTCTTGGGTGGATTGAACAAATGAAATGTCCAAAAAGGTTAATTTTGTGTTTGACATCCAATATACGAAATAGTTTTAGATTTAAATTGTTTAAAATCCCCTATATATTAATTGAGAATCATTACAACATGTTTTGGTATTCACGTGTCATCATGAGAATGCTTCTCAAATTTACTAGAGAAAATGTTGGTCCATATAAACATATAATATACTTTTTCTTAAACAAAGCGTAAAACTATTATTAATGCTATTATTTCCTTAAATAAAATTTACGGAATTACCTAATATGGTTATAATATATATATATATATATATATATATATAATTATGGTAAATCCGCGCTTCGCGCGGAAATTTGTTGCATTATATTATATTTTATTTAATATTTTTTTTTAGTTTAATAATATTATTTTAATCATGTATGGAATGTTGTTTTTGCAAGTTTAGAAAAAGTTATCATCTTTTCCGCTGATAAAAAAATCAAAGTCAATTTCGTTTGGGTTAACTAAATTTTCTAAGATGATTGTTGTGTGTTTTATTAAAGTTGTGTTCTACTTTTATTATAGTTTCTCTGTTTGTTTTAATATATTTTGTTGTACTATGCAGTATATATACTTTTTCATATCAATATAAATTAGAAAGCATATTATAAACCAAATTAAAATTTTAGATTTTACATTAAAGTTTATATCAAAAAAATATTTTGTTATGATAAGCAGTAAGTAAGATAAATAAGTTGTCAACTATAGTTAATTATGATTCAATTAGTGGATTAAAAAGACAGCAAAGTCACGAAGCCCCTGATTACATATTTTACAGGTCATCTTGTGCTGAATCCAATTGTTTTCTACCTTATTTTATTATGTAAGAAAACCAAGTTAAGAAAGAAAAGAAGAAACTTAGAGAGGGAGTTGCAATCAAGACATAGTCGGATGTGGAAGTGCTTGACGACGGGTTCAGTTGGAGAGAGTATCAGAAGATGCTGAAGAAGAACAGTCCCAGGTAGGTACAAACATTTTCTCAAAAATACTGGCATTTTTAAAGTATTAATTCATTTTAAATATTTATATAGTTCTTGTGTGACATTAAATTTAAATCAGTTTGTTATTAGAACAAAGAATGGTATGATCAGTATTGTTTAAGAGGATTTGAAAATGCTCATAAACAATGTATAATCGTGGAAAAAAACAAATCAAGTTCCACTAAGGTAGGATGAACACTTTAAGGCATAATGATTGGATCACACACAACTTCTTTATAGAGAAGAACAAAAACCAAACATGTATGTAGTTTAATCATAGCAGTCTGATTTCAAGCTATTCTTATCTTTAGTTTAAGCTGCCATATACAACAAATCGCGGTATGGTGTGGTAAAAGAGCTAATTACTCAAAATTAAAAAACAAAACTTAATCCATGCCTTTTCTGGCAACATCGAATTTCTGTAGTCTTTTCTCCTATTTTTTTTTTACACATTTTGAATCTAATTAAGCCTTCTTCAAGCTTCGCCGATTGTACATACATATTTTTAAATGGAATCAAGGAGATCAATGACCGTGCAATCCTTTGGGAGAATATATCATATAAAGTTGCAAGTTTGGATTGAAGATTGATTTAAGGAAATCAAGTTTTGTAATCCCAGAAAAGATTGGTTTGCTTAAGACCATCATTAGACTAAACATTATAGTAGTGGTATATAAGAAGACATGTGTCCAGAAGATTCTCAAAGATGCAGCAGGAAAAAAAAGTGAATCCCTTATACCATCGTCTATGTTAACTTATGAAAAAGAAAGACCTGAGAAGCAATGTCATAGTTGAGATGATGGTTTATGCTTTTCATCATTATCTTCTTAAGCATTTGCAAACGAAAACTGAGCTTAATACATTCATCTTTGCATAATCTTAATATGCACATCTATACTATTATATAAGAAGCAAATTTGCTGAGGTGTCTTTGATTTAAGGTAAATTTATTTATTTATCTTATTTAAATAATTTCATATACAATTTATTATTTAATAAAAACGAATTTCTATTAATATATTATATTTTAGAAAATATGTTAATTACTATACTATTATATAAAAAGTAAATTTGCTGAGGTGTCAACGTCTCCTTGATTTGAGATAAATTTATTTATTTATCTTATTTAAATAATTTCATATACAATTTATTATTTAATAAAAAAGAATTTCTATTAATAATAATATATTTTAGATAATATGTTAATTATTTTGTATTAAATTGTTATCTTAAAAATATATTATTCTATTATAAAATTCAGGTGAAATTACTGATTGATTTGTAACTTCTCCATGATTTTTATAATTTTGCTTATTTGTTATATTTTTAATAATTTTATGAATAATTTATGATAGAATAAAACGAATTTCTATTAATAATATTATACTTTTCGAAAATAAGATAACTCTTATGTATTATATTTATTACTTAATAAAAGCGAACTTATATTAATAATATTATACTTTAGAAAATATGTTAATTATTTTGTATTAAATTGTTATCTTAGAAATATATTTTTCTATTATAAAATTCAAGTGACATTACTGACTGAATTGTAACTTCTCCATGATTTTTATTATTTTTCTTATTTGTTATATTTTAATAATTTTATGAATAATTTATCATATAATAAAACAAATTTCTATGAACAATATTATACTTTTCGAAAATAAGATAATTATTATGTATTATATTTC